TAGGCGAGACAATGGGAAAGGGTGGCCATAATATTTTAAGGATTTAATTGGGCACAGGTTATTAAGGTAAGGCTGATTATTGTAGATGCTCTTAATCGAAAATTTTCTTCAGCTTTACAGAAGACACTTTGTGTGATCTCAATGGTAATAGGAAAAACCTGACTGAACGTAGTTTCTCAAAAGTACACGAGGACCGCAAATGTAGTACTGATTTTTGAGAATGTACAATGTACATTGGGCATTGTACATTTCAATGTGCAATCGTTGTGCCAGTTTCGTTTTGTCAGCCACAATCGTTTTCAGACAGCTTGAAAAACACAAAATCACGCGACAAAAGATCTTTTGGACCCCGTATGTGAAGGCATAGCTCATAATCCGTATATCATATGCAGGGCCCATGACATCAAATGGTGGTTTCTTTTGGTGAATATGAACTGATAATAAAATCCCAAGATCGAGAGAATTGCTGAAACGCCCTTATAGTGTTCGTGCAGGTTGCAGCAATTCTCTCCAGCTTATAATTTTAGAATCATGTCATACTCACCAAAAGAAGCCGCCATTGAATATCATGGGATCTGCAAATCCTCCGCGAAAGGTGTGGAATACTTTTCATACGGAGTCTAAGAGATCGTCCGTCGCGTGATTTTGTGTTTTCAAAGCTGTCCTTTTTGAGCGCAGATAAGTCGCGTTTAGTTGTGTTGAGTAGCTAACAGACGAGCGCCGTCATATCAAGCGGTGTCTGCTAAATGTGCTCTAATTTCAATGTACTTTCGATCCTTATGCTCTGCCAATGATGCACAGTGTATCAAACCGTTGGCGAACTACATAAATGATAGGGACTGCTGTTCTCGCAATGCAGTTTTTACTGCTTGGTACTCCCAGGATCAATATATATATATATATATATATATACATGTAGTTTTTAAATGCATATATATATATACACACACACACACACACACATATATATATATATATATATATATATATATATATACATGTCCTGATGGTGTCCTGAGCCGCCCGCCCAGGACATCAAATAACGTCGGTTTCTTTCTGTTCACCCTCTTCATCTGCTGGGCCCATGAGCCGGACGTGGGAGTCGTCGGGGCATGCTGTAAACGCATCAGTGGCAGCACCGAACCGTATCCGTGTCAAGTGTTGAACATGGGGGTTAATAACAGGGACAATTTCAGTAACAGCTTTGTATTTCCGTCATTTCATCCATTGTTTTCCATTCGTTATGCAATCCTTATCCATTCCCTATTCATTCATGGGGAACGGATAAATCAACAGATGCTCCCTGAGTGACAGTGCCAGGACACGGTTGGTTCTGTGCTGCAGATGCTTCTGTACTTGGCTCAAGACATCCTCTGCCATTTGCGGCAACACACACAATCTCTGTCTGGAACGTAAATGAGGTGGCCGAAAAATGTATTGATGTATGCACATGTGTGCAGATATCGGTGCGTGCACGTGTGTGCACTTGAAACATGTGAGAGACGGGCAACAAGAGGAGGTTGCTACGACTTGGGTATTTATTTGGCGTTAGAACACTTGCAACTTGGAGACACCCCTAGTGTCTCGTATTTGATATCTCTGTATTCGGTGTTAGCACCTTGCCGCCTGGAGACACCCCTGATGTCTCGCATTTGATGTGTCTGTATGCGCGCTTGACGTTTCTCTTTTGCACTCTTGAAGTCTCATATGTGCTGTATCTGAGTTTGGTGCTAGCACCCTACAGCTTGGAGACACCCCTGATGTCTCGTGTTTGATTTGTCTGTGTTTGGTGCTAGCACCCTACAGCTTGGAGACACCCCTGATGTCTCGTGTTTGATTTGTCTGTGTTTGGTGTTAGCACCTTACCGCTTGGAGACACCCCTGATGTCTCGTGTTTGATGTGTCTGTATTTTGTGTTAGCACCTTACCGCTTGGAGATACCCTTGATGTCTCGTGTTTGCTGTGCCTGTATTTGGTGTTAGCACCTTACCGCTTGGAGATAAACTTGATGTCTCTTGTTTAATGTGTCTGTAGTTGGTATCAGCAACTAATCACTTGGAGACGCCCTTGATGTCTCGTGTTTGCTGTGCCTGTTCGTAGCGATAGCACCCTATCGCTTGAAGATGCCTTTGACGCCTCGTTGAAGCGAGAGGTTCGAGCTTTGCTATAGCAATGAGTCTCACACCGTCAGATGCACTTATGATGGTTATTACATCAATACCGCAAGAGCGCAAGAACGCTGGTGAGAAATTTCTAGGGCCGATGACGGCGTAAGCACTTTCGACCCAGCCAGCCGGGTGGTTGATCACATCGACCGATGGCGACAGACGCCAGCGTCGGCCACCAGGCGACAGCACCGTCGGACCGCCGTCGGGCCGACGAGAAATCCAGTGCGGATTGTGGCTGTGCCAGCGGCGGGTCGATTGTGTCTGGCGACTGCCAGCCGGGGACACCGGCGGTCACGGAACGCTGTCACGGGAGCAGGACCGTCGTGCCAGAGCCACCGTCACTGCCTGACCCACCGGGGACGGACATCGCGGCTCGTGTAACAGGGGCGCGACAGACCACCTGAGACCGGCCGCAACAGCCGTGAGTGCAGTGGGTGTAAGCTGCATGTCAAAGACAAAAGGCACACAGATATCAGACGTAAAATTTTATCCAAAGAAAGAACCACCAGGGCCCACCGAGGTTAATCTACCTCGGGTTTCGTGCACATCCCCCAAAATAATCTCACCACGTGAAGCAGTTGGCTCTGGAAGCAGTAGACGTCCGCGGAAACAACCCTGTCACTAACGGCAAAGTAACATAGGCGCACGCTCCGCTCGTTTGACAGTCCACCACCTGCTGCCAGCGGAGGATGATTTCCTTGCCGAGGGTTCAGTCTCGAATTCTCAGCAGGCAAGTCCTGGTGAAAGGAATCAAGGAGGGAATCTTGAATGAGTCCCCTTACATCTTCGTCTGAACCAGTGTGATCGGTTGGTTTCAAAATTGCCCCGCGATCAACATTACCGAGTTCGTGCCTTATTCAGATTTTACTAAACATTGCATAGATAAGATCACCCTGTAATGTCATTTGAATATTGTATTTGTAACTGCCTAATGATGTTCTGTGTCGGACGAAATGTTGCAAGCGCATGCATGTTTAATGTATCTCATCATTGAGCTACCGAAGCACAAGTGTGTTCGTGAGATCGAGAATTCTGCAGAGGAAGCTATTGCGCAACAAGTATTCGTATACATTCCTCCTATTACTGCTGAAGCCGTACGCGTCTGATGTAACAGTAAGTGAAAAGAGAAGATGGGATACTCGACTTGGCATTGCGTTGTCACATTACCTTGAATGATTCCGCAGGAATTGTCGTCGCTGATAGTCATGGCTTGACTTCTACATTCCACCTTTCATATGTCAGCGATGTGACCCTTTAATCTAACTCTCCATACCTAAAGACCCGTTATTCAATTGTCTATAACTATGCCGAATTTGGCGAGGCGTAACGGTGTCAGAACTTTCTCTCCAGCGAAGCCGGATGTTGACCTCCGCAAAGAAACGCGTGATCGCCGTATATGGCTGTGCACCTACCAACGCCAAAACCGCTACGCCGCACCGATCAAAAATTATTTTGGAAACCTATGGAAGGGGAGGGGCCAAAGTGACCGCCGACCAACGCGCGTATTCATAACAATCCATTTCAATGTCCTATTAATAGCACGCGCTTTTTTTGCAACACGGTTACAGCTCCCATCGTTGTTTCCACAGAGCATTTTTGGGTATGGAATGCAGGCAGTGTGCTTTTAACCTGAATCCCACACAAGTATAGAGGCATGTCACGCTTGATGTCATGTCAAGAAGTTAAGATGAAAAATGTGATCCGGCGCCAAATTATGGCCAAACATTGTCGTGCGCAACCTGCATGCCAGCGAGAATCTTAGCCCTAATAATGTATCATTACCTTGCAGGAATGGGTATGGCCACCTTGATCTAATTGAAGAAAGAAAGGAAATTGCAGTTGGGTATAGATCTGGCCGATGGCCTGACTGCGTAACGGGATAGCTAGATCTGTTAATGTCGCCGGATGTTTGCCTCCCCAAAGAGACGCATGTTGCTCGTATATAGCGAGACGCCTACCAACACTAGAACCACCCTCCCTCCCCTCCTAACAAAAGTCGTGACTGCTCTCTCCATCAAATACAAATCGTAACAGCTGAGCGAATATATGATGCATTGACCTTCACTCCGCCTAAGGTCATAAGACACGCAAAGGCTTGTAAGATTTCAGTGGTAAGCGCTTGAATATGGGGATGACCTAAGTCCTTCATGCTTATCTTTTCGTCCTAACCTTCCAAACTAATCTTCATGGCATGGCTTCATGGCAATCCCCGTCTCCCACAACCAAAATGCTACCATGACTGCGATAGAGAAGCGCCTTTGGCGCCCTATGGCTTGGCGCCCTAAGGTGACCACAAAGGGCGTCTTCACTTGCTGATCAAAAGAGGCGCGTGCGTTTCATTGCCTGCCCCGTGGAACGACCCGTGCTTGACCAGCATGCTGCTTAGATTGGACTTTTTATGAACTATTCAACACTAAAAACCTTAGCTTACCTTGCCCAAAATAAGTGGTCTAAGCCCGATGAGAGAATAGGAGGGGGAAGTTTGGTTATCGTGAGTTCAGTTCGGCCCCGCGCACAAAAATTCACAAAAGTGAACACCTCTTCAACCGCTGGCGTCAAGACGTGTTTGTAGCCGCTGGCCTCCCCTCGTGTTTACAACCGCTGGCGCTACCTCGTGTTTACAACCGTTGCATCACTCGCTCTGTAATGTGATGCAGTTGAAAGGGATGCGTTATAGGTGTACGATATGGAAAGAGGGATCAAACGCCTCAGCTGGAAAACTTTCAACACCTCTGAACGTAGAACCCTTATGTCACTCAGCAATGACAACTTGTCGGTTTTGCTTTCAGATAAAGCACAGAACGGCAGAAATGCTACATTAGTTCACGCGTCACACACCGCAATAATGAAATCAAGGCTCGTCATCCACGGCAGCGGGGCGTTCGGCCGAATCGGCGGCCGCATCGCACTTCTGACCTTGGCTGCTGTTGGCTGCATCCTGCTGATTAACGTGACGCATCCGCAGCAAGTCATAGAAGCGCGGCAAAACATGCAGCAGCAGGACCAGCCGGTGACGGCATCATCTTCTGAGGGCCTATACAGAGGACAGCCAATCAGCCAGCTCTGGGCACGCAATCTTCCCGAGCAGGCTTGGCTCCCCGACCCCCAGTGTCGCCACTTTGTCACCAAGTTCGCCCGGGACAATTGCCTGGAAGTGGTACGTCTAGCGTCCTTCCCGAGGTCCGGCAACACCTGGACCCGCTTCATGCTGGAGACGGCTACCGGCCTGTACACCAGCTCTGGAGGACCTAACTACATCAAGTATGTCAAGGGCGAAAGCTTACGACGTTCAGACGAAGAGATATGGAGCCACGTCAAGAGTCAAAAGAGGGCTGAACTAGCCCACCTTGGCTTCATTGGCGAGACAAGCCTCTGGACGCAGGGCACCACAATAGCGATGAAGACTCACAACTTTCCCGAGCCATGGAATGCCACAGAAGCCGAGATAGACGGATACAACTGGGCAACGTTTGCTGCCAAACACCACGCGACGAGCCATTCTGGTTGTTCGAGACCCCTTCAAAGCACTCATATCGCTAAATATTTACAGCAAAACGCAATCCGTCCTCAACAACGATAACGATTGGCAAAAACTGTTTCAGGGAGACGAGTGGATTGACTTCGCGGCGTATCACGCAAACCATTGGTACAAACTGAACCGTCAGTGGGTAGAGAGAACGAATATGACGCATGTGGTGATATATGAGCACCTGACGACAAATACCATGCGGGAACTACAAGGCATGCTTCAGTTTCTGGATGTTCAGCCCGATCCGGATCGTATGGAGTGCGTGCGTCGTCACTTGGAGGGACGAGCTCACAACAAGAAACACGACATAGTGCCCAATCATACAGTGTATCCCCTACACCTGCGTGGATTGGTGTGGAGCTATATCCACCAGCTAAACTGGGTGCTGAAAACCAGGGGTTATAAGCCGCTGCCTCTGGACCTCTATACGTTTGCCGATGAGTTCAGAGACATTGGCTTGTGATAGCAGGACGACACTGCTGAATGTGAATTACTGTATCACGAAACTGTGCTCAGATTATAACAATGTTCGCATGGATGCATGCATGCATTACCCGAACTCCTTGCCTTGGGAAATGTCAAAGCAAGCAACAAACATCGATGTGAATAATAACTTGCAACGGGTACGGTAAGAAGACTCTCAGAATGCAGCGAGTTTTCAGCGAAGTTCACTGCTACGGCAAAACAGCAGGCTCACAGGCTTCGCACGGTGCGTTTTCTATTCACTAAACAGGCTGACAATACCAAAATATTGCAGATGCATTGACAATTGGCAGTGGCGAAATTACGAAGACCTGGCAGTTACAGTAGTAGCAAGTGCAATTTTCTGGAGCTCTTAGAATGCGTTACAGCGCTTCAACCGCACTGTAAAAACGGAGACTATGATTTGTACGTTCCTGGTTGTCGGCACATCACAACCGGTTGTCGTCAGGCATCCCGACAGCCATAATTTCGAGTCAGCAAGCATTCCCATGCATGGTGTTGTGTGCACCCCGGAATCATGCAAACACAAGTCATCCATACACGCTCCATCGCTAGAAAAGCAAGTCCGCACGAGTTTGCAGTTTCAATTTGTTTGGCTTGGGCACGACAAATAATGTTTTGGACTTCTACATTCGTGTTACAAATTGCATGCTTTACTTCATTACTCCAGCTAAATCTTTCCAGGATTTCATTTGCATACTTCAACTAAAAAGAAGAAAAAGAACATGACGAGGTACTGAACGGCTTTTTGATACAAATGACGCAAGCGTACAAAAGCAACACCTCTGTTTTCTTTGCTGTGTGGACACCATGAGTGGTTAATGTGTATATCAAATACTAACCTCTGATTATTGGGTGACCAGATGTATGGACACGGAGTGAATAAGCTGCTCTGCCTTGACCATTCCAAAATATTTAGAAAAAATCAGCTATGATATGTTGAGCAGCACCTTGTAAATACCTCGCAAAGCTTTCTTCGCCATTCCCGGCCTGTACTCCCCTGGCTCAAGGACAGTGATAATCATCCAGCACAATTTGTAATCTGCTCAGCCATACTTTTGAAGTGTGTAGGCCAGCCAAAATCGACAAAATAGCAAAACAAGCACATTCATTACGTTCATGTCTTGTGATGGTAAGAGCACAACGGTATATGAGGCCAGGTAGCGCTGCTATGGTAACAATCTAATTACACGCATTCATATGGCAGAGACATCAAGGCCAATACACTATATGCGGTGTCAATGAGCAGCCAACATTCAGAGCATTTACAGCGGGGGTCAACGTCACGAAAGACATGGTGCTATTGGACGTGTTTTAGCATTCTATGTACCCTGGAGAAAGGACAAGTTGTGTGCCATTGCAGAAGTGTTGCTTCATGTGAACTGGTGGTTGTGCGAGTTCGTTTCAACGTGCCATGCTGGGGTTTTCAGCGTCACAATATACGAATGGGTGCCGCTCAACGACTCTAAGCACGATGCGGTACACTTGGCACATGCTAAATATCGCGCCCATCACAGAGAGCGGCCACCAATGGCGGGGCGGCACTCAGCTTACAGAGCAGGTAGTGCTGATGTACTTACAGAGCAGGTAGTGCTGTTGTACTTATAGAGCAGGTAGTGCTGATGTACTTACAGAGCAGGTAGTGCTGTTGTACTTATAGAGCAGGTAGTGCTGATGTACTTACAGAGCAGGTAGTGCTGTTGTACTTATAGAGCAGGTAGTGCTGATGTACTTACATGAGCAGGAAGTCCTGATGTACTTACATAGCAGACAGTCCTGATGTAGTTACAGAGCAGGCAACTCTAATGTCTTACATGTGCAGGCAGTGCTGATATACTTACATAGCATGCAGCTCTGATGTACGTACAGAGCAGGCTAGTGCTGACTGTACTTACAGAGCATACCAAACTCCTGATGTACGTACAGAGCAGGCAGCCATAACGTACTTACAGAGGCATGCAGCGCATGGCATGCTCACAGAGCGGGCAGCCCTGGTGTACTTACAGAGCAGGCAGCCCTGATGTACTTACAGAGCAGGAAGCCCTGATGTACTTACAGAGCAGGCAGTGCTGATGTCTTACAGAGCGGACAGCACCTGATGTATTACAGAGCAGGCAGCCCTGATGCACCTACAAAGCAGGCAGGGCCTGATGTACTTAGAGAGCAGGCAGTTCTAATGTACTTGAAGAGCAGGCGGCCTTACCCTACACTTGCACAGGCGTGATTGAGAGCCAACCTTGGATACATCTGGAAATCGTGATTCACACAAACCGCACGAATAAAAGGGACTTCTCGGCAAATTACGCTTTGTCCTTGCTATGTGCCGGGGAAATGCCTCGCTGATCTACTGAATGGCAGGATTGGTATGGCGTCCGTAGGACGGGTCATGATACGCCCCATGTGGACCTGTGAGATAGTCCAGGTTAGGTTTGTAAGACGGGTAGGGCTGTGCACCGCACACAGTGGATCTCGAAGATGACCATTTCAGTTCACACAACCCCATTTAGAAGTGGAGCACTTCCTTTGAGTAGAAAAGCAAGGCAGGGCATGAACTGCAATTTGCTGCCTGCTGTACGCTTTGGGTCGGCATCCACGGGCTGAAGCGGAGCAGAATCAGTACGTTCAATGTTCCAGGACCATCGGCTGTGACGTCATCGCGCGTGAAGTGGCTGGGGAGCGATCCATGCCCCACATCTGACGGCGACCTCGTTAGATGCCTTCCGAACGAAGTGGCTGGGGAGCGACCCATGCCCCACATCTGACGGCGACCTCGTTAGCTGCCTCCCGAACGAAGTGGCTGGGGAGCGACCCATGCCCCACATCTGACGGCTTCCTCGTTAGCTGCCTCCCGAACGAAGTGGCTGGGGAGCGACCCATGCCCCACATCTGACGGCCTCCTCGTTAGCTGCCTCCCGAACGAAGTGGCTGGGGAGCGACCCATGCCCCACATCTGACGGCGTCCTCGTTTGCTGCCTCCCGAACGAAGTGGCTGAGGAGCGACCCATGCCCCACATCTGACGGCGTCCTCGTTTGCTGCCTCCCGAACGAGCGTCAGCGTCATGCTCACTATTCAACCTAAAGGGTTGTGTAGCAGTCAGCTGGCTAACTGAGAGGCCTCCGTGCCACCGACTTCATCAAATATGGTGTATCTGACGTCATGCAGGCCTTGCTTCCAAACCACCTCTATTCTCACGCAAGCTCGATGTTGGCACTTTTTTGGACCGGACGGTTCTACCTCGTCGGATAGCCCTGATTTAAACGCACTTAATGCTTTGTTGGGGTTAAGTCCTGACTCACAAAGACGGTTTGTTGCTCTTTTCTCAGCCTATATCTCAGGAGCATTATTGCTAGGGAGATATGTACCGGTTTTCCTGTTCATCCATCAGGTTCAGTGTTAGTTTGGAATGTAAATTGGGATTTCGGTTAGCTGAGCAAGGATAGGTGATAGCGATCACCTATTTGGAAATCCTGTCTAGCCTGAATGCTGGCTGATGATTACGAAAATTTGTATTTGCATTTTAATTTGCTTTATCATTATTAAACACTATTGAGAACACTATTTTCCATGGAAAATAGTTTGGAAAAGAACATGGGAAAACTGGCAATTACTTTATATTGTGGGGTTTCTGCCTTCTGCCAACGTATGGAATAAACAATCTTACGTATTATTTGGGTCTTATAAACTACTGGAGCACACTCTAGACCTGGAGCACACTCTGTAACTGGAGCACACTCACACACCTGAATAAGACATATCTTTTTCTTATAGGATGTTTGATGGATAGGTGCGCCAGCATATTTTTGTTGTCTGCACAACATTTGAATTGTCATTTAGGACTCTACATTGGCATGAAGATATGATGTGGTCAGCTTTGGGAAACAGCAAATTTTGATAAATATTGTGAGATTTATTGATGCTATTTTCGATCTTTTGCTGTATCCAGCAGTATTCAATTTTAAGGTGTATGGGACATCTTTGGTTTGATTGGGCAATGGTCTGTTTAATTGTGGTCCTTAATTGGCTTGTTAAGTCTAAACTTTGAATTAACACATTTAAAGCGATATTGTGTCCATTTAACCGCAATTCATGCCGTGGCAACGTGCAAGGCATGTACTTACAAGTTGTCTCGAATAGAGCAAATAGTGCGACTTAGTCTTTAAGTCGGACCACATTTTGTCTGCCTCTCAACATTTTGGCACTACCATAGCCTTTGGGGTAATCTGTTGAGGTGGATATCATAGATAATTTGTTGTAAAGTGATGTGAAATATTTGTTGTTGTTGACATATTATTAATAACTTCTTGCTTTGCTTGATTATTCTTCAGCATATGCATGTGATTGTGGCCATAGAAATGTGGTTAACCTATGCGCCAGTATAGCTTTTTATCCCAACTCTTTTTCAAGCACTGTCGGTGTAGAACTACATTGTGGTGCATATCTGTGTTGGTTGGTGATCAGTATTTTAAAATGAGGC